GCCTCTCCCCAGGTGCTAGTGGTGTCTGCTCTTATCACAAGTTATCAGCACCACTAACACTGGCGGGGGTATGTTAAAAAAAAAAGAAAAAGAAGTAGGAGCAAAGGCAACAGTGGACAACTCCACTCACAGCTTTAAGTCCGTTGTCAGCAACGATGGACGATACCGATCACGGCATGAAGTCCATCATCTGTCTCCCGGAAGTCGACGTTTATCGATGCACTCTCGTCCCTCATCTCCAGCTCTTCATCCAGATAAAACTGCATCCGCTCCAGCAACGCAATCGTTCTCCGTATCTATAGTCAGTGGGCAAAGCCCCTGATAGGTAGTAATACTCATATGTACGATGCGCAGATCAACGTTGACCGACCCCACATCTCTCTCCTTCCTTCTGCGGCCAATCTAGGATTACCAACTTTCGTCGGCCAAGATTAGGCTATGGCAGGTGCATGGTTGTGCCCCCTCGAAGCGGCCTCCACCTCAGCGCCCACACGCTCTATCACCTCTCCTCTGCCACACCCAACAGCAATGTCTGGCTAAGCGCAGCTTATCCGCAACTGCCCCCGTGCGATCCCTCGATGTGACCCTAAGGCAAAAGTTGTTCAGTTTATTTTTCTGCATAACATAGTTTTTTTTTCATTTTTTTTTTCTTTCTTTTTTCTTTTTTTTTTTTGGGGGGGGGGCTGGGACCTTCCCTTGTCCTTGCACGGCCGGGCCGCCCGGGAAAATAGGCTGACCCGGGCGGCCCGGCTGGTAGTCTAGCAAAAAAGCCACCTACCGGCATGTCTTTTTTTTGGGGGKSGGGWGRGGGAACATGCTCCAATCTATTCGTGGGGAGCAGCACATGCTGGGAACCGGACCCAGTGTCCCATTCAAGATCATATTGAGAAATTGAGAAATTTATGGAAAAATCCTTGAGATACCGGGGCCATTACCCGGCTTCGGCTAAGAAAGACAACTGTGTAATCTACACAAGAGCAGTGAAGTTCTCTATCCCCCAAAGCTCGGATCAAACGCCCAGTTTGGAGAGGCAATAAAGGAGGCATTATAGTTTGTAGCAAGTGCAGCCGGGGTAAAGGCAAGGGTGGGCCGTGGTGTCCAGGAAAGCCTGAGTTCAAAAGCGGCCAAAAAAAGAATACCGCTATTTTTCCCTCTTACGCACATTCTAAACTGCCACCATAGCTTAGTTGGTTGAGCACGGTGGCACCCAGGAGGTCGTGGGTTCGATACCCAACGTCGCCCTTTCCATCCCCGTGACCTCCTGGGGCTATGCTCCAGGTTCACCACCAGAGACTGTTGGCTTGGGCCTCCTGGCTGGTTGTGGACGTACTTGGTTCTTTCCAGCTCGTGCCAGGTGTTAGACCACCACTCCCTCCAACATCAAGAAATTGGGGGGACTGGCAGCACAGGGTCATTAGGGCTACCGGTAGTACAGTGTGGAGAATCGAAAGAAACACAAAAAATGAATTTCTATGATTCTGCATCCATAAAGTAGGTGTTTACAGTCTTCGACCCTAAACCCTGTAGTTGGCCTTCAAAACATGGAGCTGGGTTCCTTTTTTTTCCTTTTTTTTTTTGTGTGTAACAGCCCCAGAGGCAGCTTGAGGTGCTGGCAGGAGCAGACACATCAAGCTGTTTTGGGGGAGTCTCCATCTATTGGTGGGAGCGGCACCTGCTGGGAAGCCGGCCCAGCGTCCCCTTATACAGAAATTGCAGATATTTGAACAAAAATACACATCGGCACCTCGTGGGGGCATCACCTCTACAGCCTACAGACTGGCCGCCTGCTGCGGTCTTACTGATCGTATCTTGTGCCCCTTGGTATGAGGCACAGTGCCGCTCATGGCAGCATTCCACTGTGCTGTTTTGTCATCTAAAGCTCTCCTAAACTCTAAACCCTACCATCTTCACCCGAATAGAACGCCCGGTCATTATAGCCGTATTTGGTGCACGTTTCAGTCCAGATACAGCTATAATAACCGGGCGTTCTATTCGGGTGAAGACGGTAGTCGCTTGAAATCTTGAAACCTTAAACCCTTGAAACTTAAAACCCTTGAACCACCAGTACACGGACCCAGCCTTGCTGAAAAGAAAACTCGTCGCCTACAAAAATTTTGGAGACCCAGCGCCGTAGATAAATTGAATTGGCGGCGGGCGGCCTCCGAAAGGGGCCCGCGGCCGATAGCTGGATGTACTGGTGGTTTAAACAGTTGTACCCTTGCCTTCTTGATCATAGTATCCCTTTGCACTCGTAAAGGCTTCATGGGCCCTGAGGCCCTACACCTACCCACCCTTTTGTGGGGCCAGCAGTGGTAAGCATCGGTGGGTCCAGAGATGGTATTCCAGTTTTGGTGTCCCTGCTGCTTTCTGTCACACCAATCCTGCAGTCGTTCTTCTTGCTCCTGTGTCTGGCGCCTTCAACTCCGGGGGGTAGGCAGGGATGGGGGAGAAACGGAAGAGGGGGGGGTGACGTGTGGGGTTTGTTCAAGGTTTGGTGACTAGGACAAAATTAGGCCGAAGGTACGGGACCTGGAAGTCATCCGGGGGTCGTTTATGCCAGGTGTGCTCTGTGCGTCTCCATTGTTTCCAGTAGATGGCCAGGCTTGCATCAAGTTTGCTAAATTGGTGCAGGGGGTCCTGCCATCCCTGTCAGTATGAGCACAGGATAGCCTCGTTGACCTGCGGCTCAGTCGCTTCCCGCTCGTCCTTTTGCATTGCCCTCCATGCTTCCTGGGTCTGCGACCTGATGACCTCTTCTATCACCTGCTGCGCTTGTTGGAGACCGAATTGGTGTTCTTTTCTCTCAAAGGAGCATCGGGCTCGCCAGGCTGGCATATGGACGTGAAGCCGCGTGTAACTGAAGAGGTTGGCTGCGAACGGGGACCAGCGGGCCAGCAACTGCTGGTGTTTGCTAACAAGAGCAGGCCCAGGTCCCATGGAATGTGGACAGACGTGAGGGAGTGAAAGGCGCATCCCACCGTTGCCACAGCTGGGCTACCATCGGGCATGCGAGGAGACTGTGTTCCAGCGCGGCTCGGGCAGGCGGTGTCAACTGTCCACAGTACAAGCATATGGGGGACAGCTGCCCTTTCTGCTCTAGGTCGGTTCTGTCGACCAGCGAATCCGGCTTAGGCAGGCACCGGTGTAAGATCTGCCATTGCAGCGACCGCAGGTTTGTGGGCGTAATCTTGGCGTATTTGGACCATGGCAGGTCTTGCGTGAGGGCAGGGTCCATGGGGGAGTGTTCGGCCCACCTACAGCCACTGTTCCTCACTGGTTGGGTTGCTGTACCCCTTGCATCCACAGTACAAGCATATGGGGGACAGCTGCCCTTTCTGCTCTAGATCGGTTCTGTCGACCAGCCAATCCGGCGTAGGCAGGCACCGGTGTAAGATCTGCCATTGCAGTGACCGCAGGTTTGTGGGCGTAATCTTGGCGTATTTGGACCATGGCAGGTCGTGCATGAGGGCAGGGTCCATGCGGGAGTGTTGGGCCCACCTAGCAGCCACTATTCCTTGCTGGTTGGGTTGCCGTGCCCCTTGCAGGGCCAGAAGGTGGACATACCAGTTCGAGTACACAGCCCGAGGTAGGTAGTGTGAGATGGAAAATATTGAGAGAAGATTGAATTAAAAAAAAAACTGCCACCATGACAAAGCTGCATGGTCTGTGGGTTCGACCATTGTTAGTCAGGATCATTTGCCAAGGTAGGCTTAGCAAGTAGTGGGAGTGTCATTCTGTGAAGGCCACTCTGACAAGTTTTTCCAAAAATTTGTACATGCAGTGCATGCACACTATGGTGGTTGTGTGTGTTCTACCCTGAATGGCGGGTGGAGGGTTGGGCTATAGGTCCGCCGTCAGGCGTGACCCTGCCGTGCGGGTGCCAGGGTAGATCCATCGATAGCGGGTAGCAGTGCAGGGGTGAGCATGCATCTGACAAGGCATCACTATGGAAGGCGGTGAGCGTCCTTGCAGGGGGTGAGAGCAGAATGGGGGCGTGCGCCACAGCGCCAAGTGCCCACACACCCGTCTGCCGCCGAAGCGGCACACTTGCACATATATATATATATATATATATATATATATATATATATATATATATATATATATATATAGCGATGGAGGGC